GTCAGGAAAGATGCAGAGAATAGAAGTAAACCTGAGAAGTTTTTGCATTTGATAGATTCAACAAGCCACATTTACGTTTGTCGGTGTCTTGTTTCAGAAATTCATCAACGATCTGAATATTTTAAGAATGATTCCATCAGATCAAATGTTTTTTGGAAAAATTCTGATAATGATAGAATGCATGAGTGTATGAGCTCATTTGAAGCTGAACATGTATCAGAAATTTTCGAAAGATTATCGGAAGTGCAAGGTTTACCAAATCAACTTCTTCGTCTGTGAGATCTAGGGAATTGAGACGATTCACGGCCTCCCTTAACTTGGCAACTTTATTCCAAGGCAACATTGCTATATCTTTCATTGCTATCATTGCGATGGCAGCCATAAATAACTGAAATTTGAAGGCAGGAATAGAAAGTTTATCAATTTAATGGATACGTTTTATGAATTTGTGATATGCTCATGCTGATACGCTTAGAAATGTTCTGCTCACAAGAATTTGACAAAGAATCGCAGTATCCTTCACAATTGATCGTTTAAAAATAGAATTTGCTCCGGGTGAATTGATTCGAGTATCTTGTCCACTAATTTTCAATGAATCTCGATTGTGCTTGCCCAATGCGACTTATACATTACCTGGGCATAGATAAGAAGTTCATATTTGACTGCAGGTAGATGGTAGCTTTTCCATCGTGGTGCTTTATACTGTCGAGCACATCGCTTCGGAACAACAGCTTAAAATTTTATTGAGTCGATGTTGACATGCACATTGGATTGTTAATGCCAACAAAATTCGAATTATGTGTGAGATTGTCTCTGTTTCGAAGCAATAAAGTATAATTCCATGTTTTCAGTCCACGTTTAGTGTGTAGGCTGATTTTTCTAATAGTTTGAGATGAGTCATTTGTATGCTATACTCAACTGTTGTCATCCAAGCTTCAGTTTTTGCTGTGTGATCGTTCTCAAACGAAAGGAAACTTCAGAGTGTTGTTAAAGAACGAGTCAAAGATAATGTGCAATGGTTATCTTAATGAAAACGCACATTTTATTGGATTGCCCACTTGAGTTTGGCTAACTGCTTCAGAGCTTGGTTGGCCTGAAAAATATAACTATTGTTGATCGTATGAAGAGTTCCTTAGGTTCATGAAAACGCACATTTTGTTGATATACCCTCTTGAGCTTGGCTAGCTGCCTCAGAGCTTGGTCGGCCTGAAAAGTATAAGTGTTCTTGATGGTTATGAAGAGTTCCTTAGTAAACAAATCATCTTATACATATATCAACTTGAATTTGATGCATTTATCGATGCCGACAATTGATCTCCTCGAGCTGAAACGGAAGATTATGATTGGAAACTGCACAGATTGCATAACACATGTTCATGTGAAAGGCAGAAATCGCGATATTCTGAAAATTATGATACCTTTTCAGCGTGTACGTTGATGAGACTCCGGAATGGAATCGCAATGTTCTATACAACATACAATCTTCCTTACTATGGAATCAGAACGCGAGAAAAGTGGATGTGAAAACGTTCTGCCATATTCGATCATTGTGATTATGAAGAATCGTCGTGAAAGAAGCAACTGACCTGAAGCAATAACACTACTCTCTGCAGCCGATACTTCTTCAACTTTGTTTTTGATCGTTGATGTTTGTTCGGTGTTCGAAACTGATGAGGCCATTGAGAATAAACCAATCAAAAAGCGTCCAACTCCAACTGATATGCAGAGCTGCCTCTCCACGTCATTTTTTCAACTGATCAAATTTTCTGATCGAGTTCACTCCTATCGAATTTCAATTTTCATTTGAATAATCTGAATTTTATGCATAATTTACAAACTCAATTGCAATCATGATC